TCACGACAGCCGGATAGAGACAACGAGCGGAGTGGCACACTATGGTGGTATGGCTTTCTGGTCGGGTCTATGGAGAGGGCCGGTGCAGCCTTCATCAAGGTATGTGCCGTCACGTTAGACTCAGAGGAGATCAAGTAGACTGACTCTATGATAGCTCGGACAATGGGCTGCCTCCCGAACAGATGTCTTTCCAACCGAGATGTGTTCAATCATGTCGACCCTCCACTCCAACGCCCCGGCGCACACATTACAAGTCACGAAGCGAACGATCGAGGCGGCTTTCGACGGACAGAGCTTTGACGACATCTTCGAGGAGTTCGACGAGAAGCCATTGGGTGTTGGCGCCATAGCACAGGTGTACAAGGCGAAACTGAAGCCGCATCTTGCAACTCTAGAGGACAACAGCATCGACCGAGAGGAACTCAATTTGGCGCGGCGGATCAAGAAGAATGTCGATGTGACGCTCAAGAGCTCACCCTCGAGGGTACCATCTAGCCATGTTGCCATCAAGGTTCTGCACCCCAACATTGAGAAGATCGTCCGGAGAGACTTGCGCATCATGGGCTTCTTCGCGGCTGTCATCAACGCTATACCCACGATGGAGTGGCTGTCATTTCCCGACGAAGTGGAACAATTTGGCGAGATGATGAGGCTGCAACTGGATCTGCGCATCGAAGCCGCAAATCTCACGCTCTTCCGACGTAACTTCAAGGACCGGACGACAGCCTGGTTCCCGTACCCTTACACTGACTACACCACGCGCAATGTCCTTATCGAGGAGTTCGCCCAAGGCATCCCCATGGAAGACTTTCTACAAAATGGAGGCGGAGTGTTCCAAAAGGACATTGCAGACGAAGGATTAGATGCGTTCCTCACCATGCTCCTCATCGACAATTTCATCCATGCCGACCTACACCCGGGAAATATCATGGTCCGTTTCTACAAGCCTGAGCAGTTGGACGTCTCAATATTCGCCAAGAAGGAGGACCGGACGACCGGCCCCAAAGAGTCGCTTGATGTTACTGAAGAGGTACTCGAGCGTCTGCGACCACACAAGAAGAACCCGAAGCAGTGGAAAGCGAAGTTGCAGGAGATTGACAACGAGGGGTATCGACCACAGCTCATTTTCATCGACACAGGTCTTGTAACGGAGCTCAATGCGAAGAACCGCGCCAACTTCCTTGATCTCTTCAAGGCTGTCGCCGAGTTTGATGGTTACAAAGCAGGTCATCTCATGGTTGAGAGGTGCAGACAACCAGACGCAGTACTTGACGGGGAAGTTTTTGCTTTGCGCATGCAACATCTGGTGCTCGGAGTCAAGAGCCGTACTTTTGCTCTCGGCAACATCAAGATTGGAGACATTCTCAACGAGGTTCTTTCCATGGTACGAACACATCATGTTCGCCTCGAAGGCGACTTTGTCAATGTCGTTCTTAGCATCCTCCTCTTGGAAGGTATCGGAAGGAGCTTGAACCCTAACTTGGATCTCTTCGCCGGGTAAGTGATATTACAACATGCATCTAGCCATCTGCTAACGTAACCAGTGCTCTACCAATACTGCGACAACTTGGTGCACAAAGTGGCTCGTCGATGATTCGTGGAGGCGACTTTTCGATGCTCAAGGTTTGGGTTGGTCTTGAGGCGCGCAGCTTCTTGCAGGCCTCCATTGATACAGTATGCAACATGACACATGTGTTGCGCTGCATCACTAACAATATCTTAGGTCGAGCGATACGTCAAATCCGATCAACTATCACCCAATGTATAATAGGAAGACGGGCGGTTGTCTATTACGTGGGATTCGTTGTTAATACTTCCACGCGTGTGTTAGCGGTTGTGACTGGCTGGTATGGAGGACGCAGGCTGTGCTTGGAACTGTGAAGTAACGGTACAGTGCATCTTCGTTTGAAGGTATTGATCTATAATGTGCAGACACGGCGGATGCTCTGAATCTGTAGGCAGCTTTCTTTTTTGTTTGGCTTGCCGTGAAGGGTACGCGTAAGGGCGACAAGGGTCTCGCGTGATGACGTCACCCTCATGTTAAGCTTCACAGCTACAACGCAATACAACATCCCTCCTCTCAATCACACTACACTTTTCCCTCGTATTAGTTGAACTTCTGACATATCCGCTTCTCAAATTGCTCATTCGAACCCCGCAACCCCCATTCACCCGAATATAGCTCTCTCCTGAGCAACGATGGAAGCCGGAGCAGCCGGTGTGCTCTACGCAGCCGAGAACCTCCTGGAGGCCGGTGTAGCTCTCGTCAAGGGCATAACTCATCCGACATTGCCGATCAAGGCAAACCTCACGCGCATATCCTCCGTCCCGCTCCCTCGCTCGCATCACACGGTTTCGGTAGTCAAAGGCCGCGCATACATCTTTGGTGGAGAGACGGAAGCTGGCAACCTCGCAGACAATGACATGCACGTTGTCATCTTGCCGTCGAGCGGTGTTCTCGACGCCGACTACACCAAATACTCAGCCCGCGCGGCAAATGGCCTGGACGATGTACCGAACTCGAGAAGGGGACACACGGCTGCGGTCATTGGGGATAGCATCTACATGTTTGGTGGCGAAGGAGATGGTGTAACAGATGAGAAGGGGCGGGTCTGGGTTTACGATACGATATCAAACACCTGGACCTATCTTGATCCAGCTGAGGGCACGCTGTTTCCCGGCCAGCGAACTGGCCACGCTTCGGCGAGCTCAGACCTCCCAGGCCCCAAGACGACGACGTACGTTGAGAAGGCACCGCAAGCCCCCGCCGATCCTGCGAAACACGTTCCCGAGCCGCCAGAAGCAAACTCATACGGAACCATCTTCGTGGTTGGAGGGCGCGAATGTTCGAGCAGCAATCTTGCCAACGATGCACTTGCGTTCGACGTCAAGACACGAACGTGGACCAACATACCTTCCCCGTCAGGCCAGCCACGGGAAGGTGCAAGCCTCGCGCTCGTTGGCAGTCGCCTCTATCGGTTTGGTGGAAAGGGCATCGAGACATTTGCGTCAGGTGCGACCGAGTACGTGGACGCATCACATGTGTGGACACACGCAGAGCGCGGGACTACACCTGTCACTAGTGGGTGGGGCTGGGAAGAAGTGAAGCACACCGAAGGTAGCACCGCTACAGCACCGCAGGCGCGCGCAAATGCAGGACTCGTGGGCGTCACCACAGGTCAAGGGCGACACTACTTGCTAGCTGTCGGTGGAGAGACTGAGAACGGAGATTACCTCGACGACATATGGGCACTGCAGCTCGCACCCGAGCGCGCCACGGCCGCAGCGACCAAAGATAACATACGCGCGGGTATGAAGAGAGATACGCATGAGTCACAATGGGCTGAGGCGATATATCGATACGTAGACACAAAAGGCGAAGAGGAAAAAGAGATCCCAGGAAAGCCAAAGCGAGGCCTCGGAGCGAGGGGGCATTTCGGTATCGCCAAGGGTACCGAAGTCGACGGAGCGACGTGTGTAGTCTGGGGTGGAGTCGATGCGAATGGCAGTGTACTAAACGACGGTTGGATGATTACTGTTGACAGGTAGTCCGTCACGTTGTACTCTCATGGATATAAATGAAGAACTTGGCCGACACGCGTCTGCGACCAACAATGCCTGGCTGTCTAGCACGTGGCAAACCTATGGATCATCGCCACTTCTTGCTCTCCACCATTCCATACTGTTCTTGTCTTTCTGACTTTCCAGCTTCCTCTCTTGTGTGTGCGCATGACTTTGGGCGAGGTTTTCGCACTATCTCAAGCGCCTTGCCGTTGATAGTGCCGTGGAACAGACGCTTGGAGCAAGTATCGGCGCTGCCATGCGCGACCAGGGCAACCGAAACCCCAACAACCTGTCGAAGCCACGCTGCACCACATGTCACCTCGCCTTGGTGGTTTTCGCGCATCGCATTGGATGCTGTCAAGCGGAGTTGGTGCCTTGTAACCGTCTTCTCGTGGCCATCGCGATCTTGTTGGCGGGTGGGTACAAAGGTGAAACAACAAAGCTGGCCCAATCAGGAAAGTGGCAGCAACAACACCACCAATTCGCCGCTCTTCCCATTTGATGAAGCAAATACCCGCTTACAGCGATATAGACAGCCCTACGAGGATACAGTGCCTGTTTTGACATCCACTAGCTACCATCGAGTGGCTGACAGCGGCACGAGGCCTGTAATGACGGGAGGGCCGACCCAGTAGAGTACCGTTAGTAGACAGGACAGGGCCTGGGGCTTCTAGGCGCTATGCTTCCGTTTTATAGGTCATGGGGAGGATGGGGGTTAAGTATATTGCTTGCCCGGGATGTTGTGCGAGCGACTGGACCCAAAGACGACTTTACGGGTTACGCTGCGGTTGAAGAGCGCGTGCAACAGCAACGGCTGCAGTCAGCTCGTTACAATTTTTCAAGGAGCAAAGAAGATTCAGAAGAGTTGTCAATCATGGGTTGGGGTAAGTCACTACCAAGTCGACTGTGCAGAGGGACGAAAAGCGCTAAACATGTTATGCTTGATAGGTGGAGACTTGACACTGGTCAATGGTTCGCCGTTCAATTGGACCTTGAATGGCCAACATTCATATCAAATGGATACATGGAAATGGCCAACTATCAACTCTGGTGTGTATATCCTTGATTAAAAGGAATACCTCCGCTGACCACGTGAAGGCCAGGCATCAAGAGTATACGTCGAGTTTGGGACGAGAGGAAACACCCGTGACGATGCAGGCGAGGCATATTACAACATCGACGGAACATCGGATAGGTTCACGGTACTCGGACGGAAGCCTTCGGACTATGCACTCACCATATCTCTGGATGATATGTCGACAAAGCAAAGTTCGAAAGGATCAAAACTCGACTTAGGGTTCCGGCATAACGCGGCTGTAAACTGGATCATGTCCACTGATGAAGCAGGAAACTGGTGGTCAAACAGCGGCAGCTACGCAGATTGGATGCAACAAAACATGGGCTCGCTGGCCAACAGAACGCTAAAACACATCTGCATGCCAGGCTCCCACGACGCTGGTATGGGCACATTCAAACCTGGCACTATCGGCGCACATTTTGCCAATACTCAGACCCAATATCTGGACTTTTACCAACAACTCGAAGCTGGATCACGGTACTTTGACCTCCGCCCTGTGCTCTCGAGAGGCGAGTGGGTGGCTGGTCACTACGGCCAAGTCGGCGACATCTGGCTCGGTGGGAACGGGCAGTCCCTTACAGACATCATACAACAGATCAACGACTTCACTGCAAAATACCAGGAACTCATCATCATAAATCTCAGCCACACTCTCGACACAGACAACCAGTACAAAGACCTCACGCAAACGCAATGGAACGATCTCTTCACAACACTAAAGCGCATCAACAACCGCTACACCGTCAGCAACCCCGGCGCCACCGATCTCTCCACGCGCCGTCTGGGTGACTTCATTACAGACCGCGCATCCGTTGTCATCATCGCGCAGATACCGGATGATGTGACACTAGGCGACTTTGCAAACCAAGGATTCTACTCGGGCCGCAACTTTCCTTTCTACGACGAATACAGCAACAGCAACAATCTCGCCGCTATGAAGAGCGATCAGCTGGCGAAGCTGAAGCAGAACCGGAATATCGTCGCGGAGCAAAGTCAGAGGAAAGACTTGTTCCATATTTTCTCATGGACGTTGACACAACAGCCGGAGGATGTGTTGATCTTTGATAAAGCCATCATGTTTGTTTCCCTCTTTCCTATCCCGACTTAACACAAATGGTTTCCCAGACACTAATATGCCCTCAGGAATATGGCGGCCTCCGCTTTCGACGACCTGATAAGCGAGACGTGGAATGCTTTCACGCCGCAAAGCTTCCCAAACGTGCTGTTCGTAGATAGTCTGGGGGTAAGGGATAAGAGTGTTGTTTTCCCGTTCGATAAGCCAAAGCAAGGACTGCCAACGAACTCCGATATTGCTGCGTTTGCTGTGGCGGTGAACAATGGGATTGCGGGGAGGAATGGGGTTGTGACTGGGAGATGATGGGGAATAAATGGATATGTTAAGAGAGCTTTGTATGTCATGATCTAGGGGATACGACGAATCGATATTTCACGTGTGTGATGAATCATGAATGATCTCATTTTCGACTCTGCTGGTTCTCCTGGTGAAACTCGGCTGTTGGCCATCTACCTAGCCGGCATGAGGTATCGTTGTGCGAGGGACGACTTGTATGGGTACCTAGTATGCCATAGACCATCCGATAGATTGTTGGCCAATGCTTCTGCGTAGAGTTGGCTCGTTCGCCTGATCAAACCGAACTATTGGTATTGTGGGGTGTGGAAAGGTTCGGAAAAGTAGAGGTTCTGATAACCAGATCTTTCTCCCGTCTCAGTGGCTTCATGGCCTAGAATTCGAGGTGTAGAGAAGCTATCGAACTCGCTTGTATCAGTCCATGATGCATTTTGCGCATGAGGATATGTATGACTGGAACAAAGACGTGTAGTTTGTGAGCATCCATTTGGCGTACTCTTCGTCAGGCCTTCCTGACACGATTGGCCTGGTGTGCGCCCTAAAGCGAGATGGTCGCCATGGAATTTTGTTTGGAGGCGCAAAAGTCGGTCAAACAGCCATAGTGGATACAGGTAAACGATTTCCGCTCTCTTCTTCCTCATCGCATCTCGATCTCGGCTGGACGTTACAATGATCTACATTTGGAATACTGATCATCGCTTTTTCGTGCAGGTACCCGTCGTCGAGGATCTGCGACTGATCAGCAGCGGGGTGCCAACCCTCTGTGCGACGTCCAAGTATGCCGTTCGCGCAGGTAACCGATGCTTGCTTATGGGCATAGAGCAATGTTTGGTTCTACCTATCGCCTAGTAGTTTCCACATCGTACGACAGAAGGAGGCGCTGGCGGAAGAAAGCATCTATGTTAGTGGAGAGAAAAGGAAGGTGTCTCCTAGCACGCCAGATGCTCAGCAGGACTCTGACCCCTGAGGCGTCATGTAGGTTGGCTTTCCAAAGCTGCAGCCGTCATGCTCATCCTGCAATACGAGTACTTGCGGAACTACGGCATGCGCCAAGTGCCATGGGATGGAGCGGGTGCTTGTTCTTGCTTAGCAAGAGAAGCGATACGGGTGGTGGACGCCTTGCTTCTCCACATAGTTTGCTTGGCTCAATCGCCCCTTGAGGATGCTTGATCGGGCGTAAGAGGAGAAAAAGTATACAAAACGGCAGTCGATATTGACTGTTCGGATAGTTAACCGTGCTATCCGATTGTTGCCATTTTGGCAGGGTAGATTACTAGCTCCGAGGTGGAGTACAGTGATTGTCTGAGTCGAACAAGGGTCGAAAGTGATTCTTGAGATCCCAGCTCGCGCGGCGTCGGGAAGTGGAAGTTTTCGATTCGCGACCGGTAGTCTACCTGTCATGCTGTCGCAGTACTGGCCACAAACGATCATCGCAGCCGTTGAATGCAGTAGGCCTAAGATTTGCTAAGGATCGGTCGTGCTGTTGCTTACTCCTCCGCACGAGAAGGGTTTGTCTATCGCAATCTCGTTTCGTCGAGTCAAGCGATCGGGACGAGGCTGAAGAACCTAGTCATCTCAGCAAAAGCTTGTCTCATAACAGAAAAGCAATATATTAAAATAGACTCGGTCTTTATTCCTTGCGATATTCCCGAGGCATATACAGCTCCATTTCTGCATGCCATGGTGGAGTGGAGGTTTTGGAGTTGCTGCCTGAATCAGACGTGCGAGTGGTTAGCTGCATGAAAACGAAGAGGGATACGAGGTCTTCCCGTGCCCCTTGAATCCAATTGCATCGTCGCAAGAGTTTCTGTATCCTGCGCGGCTTGCAACAGTGGTTGCGTGCTGCACGCCACCATCATGTGGCATGAAATCTCTGCGCCGGTAAGCGGTAGTGGTTCGTGATGAGTATCGATAAATCGAGACGTGTGTTGGCGGAAGCAAGCATGCTGTATAGTGCTGAGGGTGGGAGCGATTAGATGGGCCTCGCTTGACGGCGCACGTGATTGGCTCATCTTGGGCAATCGGGAGCCCACTTGACTCCAATTTTCCTCGGAAGTGCGGGTGCCTGGGCCAGAAGGGCCAGAAGAGACATCCTCCACTGCAGCGGAATTGCGCATCATGCTACCTTTCGCGGACGAATCTTCATGCAATTGCATGGCTGTGCGACAGAGACCCGGACTCAAACGACTATTTACACGATGGCTTGTTGGTGATGCGGGGTGGATCTCTTAATCCGAACAAGCTCTCTCCAAGAGATGTAACCGTCGGTTGGGCGTGCTCGGCAACTGTTGCCAATGCGCCAGTGCAGGTCGATGCTTTCGTGGCTCAACGCCATGGCTGAAGGGCCGTCTACTGAGTGCGGCACCGTCAGACCGTCTGACGCTGATTATGGAAGACGTCACATCGCCTCGCCCGCGGGGTCCTTCAATAGCTAGGTGATAATTTTCTAGCGTCTCACAGCAACATCATCGCAACATGTTGAACAGCGACCGCGCGAAAACGATATGCGCCAAGCGACTGCGTAGTGACAGACGAGAGTGGAGAACGGCTGCTTGAATCACTCGATGTTTCGAGCAATTACCGGTCGACAGCCGTCACGTCAGAGGCGTTCAGGAATAACATTTCGGATGGCACTGATAGCAAAACACGTTTCAAACGGCTCGGATCAACAATCACGTTCTATTTTCGCTCCACGACGTGACAGCAATGCGGTTCCTGCATGGCAAAGGAGCGCGTGCCACCAACAACCCATGAGGAAAGCTCCCAATCGCGCATCATGTCCGCCCGAAGCGAAGCCGGCGCCGCGGGTCGAGAGCTTGAATCTGCCAGTGCCAGGGGCTCGCGGCACACCAAGCTTTCTTTTCTACGCTGACCGGCATCTGCAGGCAAGAGTCGAGAGCGCTAGTCGTAACGCGAGTCAACCTTAGCACCAGGCCTTTACGGGGATTGCTGGCTAACCGTCGATCATTCTTACCCTTCATAAGATGATTCTACCCGCATGCCGTGATGACTTTTCTTGGTACCTTCTGTTCGAAGTCCTAATCTTACCTTCTTGTGATCCGTCTTTCGTTCCGGTCCAAGGTCCTTCAGTGTGTCGTCGTTATTGACCACCACTATCCACTCGCTCATCTCTTAATCCGACTATCAGAACAACTTTAATTCCGTAATTCGAACCGACCACATTCTTACAACATGCACTACTCCGCGGCTCTCGCTGCCGTTGCAGCTATCACTCCTCTCGTCAACGCCCATGGCGCCGGTCTGCCCAACATCATTGGCTTGAACCCGAGGGACCTCCGGGCCCGCGACCTACTTTCTCGCACTGGAGCTCGATTCACCGGAGTTAACGAGCTTCTGCAACCCAAGACTCAGGTCAAGAACAAGGTCGTGGCCCGTCAGGACGACCGCCAGTGTGGTGCGGGTGTCGGCAACTGTCCCGCCGGTCAGTGCTGCTCAGGTGCTGGCTACTGTGGCACAGAAGACGACTACTGCTACTCTCCTGGATGCGATTACGAGCACGGCTCTGGCTGCCCTGAGAACGCCACCCCAGGAGGTACCAACACCTCTTCCATCGCCCGTACTAAGGTCGGCAATGTCGAGTACGGTGGCGCTGGTATCTACGGCTGCACCACGCCCGGCACGGTAGCCATCACCTACGACGACGGCCCACAAAAGGTCTTCACCAGCCATATTCTCGATGTCATGGCTTCCTACAACGCCAAGGCTACTTTCTTCATCACTGGAAACAACATCAACAAGGGACAGATTGACATCACTCCCGAGTTCAGCAGTGTTCTTAAGCGCATGGACTCTGAGGGCCACCAGCTTGCTTCTCACACCTGGACCCACTTGGACCTGAGCGCCGTCTCCCAGCAGGACCGTTACAACCAGATGATCAAGAACGAGATGGCTCTTCGCAACATCGTCGGCAAGATCCCCACCTACATGCGTCCCCCGTACTCCAGCTGCACTGCTGAGTCAGGATGCGAGAAGGACATGGCTGACCTCGGTTACCACGTCACATACTTCAACCTTGATACCGTATGCACTTCCTTGATCTCTTGAAAGGGTTCAATTGCTGACACTAGGAACAGGATGATTACGAACACGACAGCACCACCCTCATCCAATACTCCAAGGATGTTTTCCTGGGCAACGTCACCAGCGGTCCCGCCGCCAGCAACCAGTGGCTCGAGATTGGTCACGATATCCATGAGCAGACTGCCATGAACCTGACCGAGTACATGCTCTCCACCCTCACTCAGCTCGGATACAAGGCCGTTACTGTTGGTGACTGCCTTGGTGACCCCAAGGAGAACTGGTACCGCACTGCTGGTGGTGCCGGCTCTGGCAACGCGCCCAACCCCGCCACTTCTGCCGGTGCTCCCGCTGCCACTGGAACCAAGCAGGTTACCCCTGATGCTACTTGCGGTGGTACCAAGGGATACACCTGCTTGGGATCTACCTTCGGTAACTGCTGCAGCGCTGCCGGTTACTGCGGTACCACTTCGGCCTACTGCGGAACTGGCTGCCAATCTGGCTTCGGTAACTGCGGCAGCAATGGTGTTGCCCCTACCACCACCACCACTAAGGCTGCCACGCCTACCAAGGCTACTACCTCCAAGGCCCCCGTCGCTTCTGCCGCTGGCAAGGTCTCCACTGACGGCTCATGCGGCGGTACTTCTGGTTTCACCTGCGCTGGCTCATCCTTCGGTAACTGCTGCTCCCAGTACGGCTGGTGCGGAAGCACTACTGACCACTGCTCCACTGGCTGCAACTCCGCCTTCGGTACCTGCACTGGCACTGGAGCATCCGCCACTAAGCAGGCCGCTACCACAACCACCAAGGCCGCCGCTGCGCCCACCAAGAAGGCATCTACTGACGGATCCTGCGCTGGAACCTCTGGCTTCACATGCTCTGGCTCTTCTTTCGGAAACTGCTGCTCCCAGTACGGTTGGTGTGGAAGCACCACCGGTCACTGCGGTGCTGGCTGCCAGGGTACTTTCGGTACCTGCAACTAAGTTAACCAACTGGTGACTTTCCCTTTCTGTTCCGTTAGAAGTAATGCGCCCACATGAGGGCACGATCTGTACATTTGTATCAACATAGGGCGGCGTCAAGCCTATCAATGACATGACGAGGTCAAAAAAGGAGCGATTCCACGTCCATAACCGTGTTCTCATACAATGCAGCTTTTGTACTTTATGAGATCAAAACCACTGCACGAACCTGTATATCAGGTGTTGCGAGTAGGCTGGGGACGAGGGGTAGATGTAGAGATTCGCATTATCGAAGCATGAAAAAGCACAAAAATGATCAATACACATTAAACATTCAGCATCTTTCATGGAGTCCCTCATTCGGCCATTCAAGACGAGCTTATCGCAAGATGTGTAATAATGTCGGCTTACTGCCACATCACTGGTTTCTGCACCGAAGGCACTGAGAATATTTGAGCTGGCCAGCGATTTCATTGAGGAGCGAGTGTGTTTAAACTACCACCAAGGAGATACATGCAAGTCGCTCGTGAGAGCCGTCATCCCAGTCTACACCAGACACTGCAGGTCTAATGTTGATGGACCATGTCCCTCCGAACACTCCATTTTCGTCCATTCCCCAACCCGAAATGGGCATCAGAATGTCAGCTATCATCGTTTACTCGGGGCAAAGGCCGTTCTCAGTCAAGAAGTCACCGAGAGCATCGACGCACCCAGCGCAGCCGCAGAGCTGAGTCAAGTCAGTGGGAGTGGGAAATGGAAAGACAATGGGAGGAAATACCGAAGGAGCACCACCGGAAACACAGGCGACGACTGCGGCAACGCCAGCGGGTCCGGTTGCAACACCTGCTGCAATGCAGAAAGCGGCACCGATAACAGCAGCGCAGTCGAAGATGCTGCAGTCGGCTTGCTGGGCAGCGAACTGAATGGCACTGGTCATCTGTTGGCTCTCGCGCTTGGCGATCTCGTTGGGAGCGGCGGCAGCGAGGCCAGCAAGGGCGGCGATAGTGATGGTGGAGAAACGCATGTTGATGGTTTGAGGAGGTGTTGAGCGAAAGGCTGGTAATGTAGTGAAGGTAATGATGTTGTGATGTTGAAGCTTGGTGAGTTCTTTCAGGTCGACTTCTGGCCATCCTTTATACTTTCTTGTCCTCACATGGTCCTCTTTCTCTCTCTATCACCGCTGACATCTACCGGTCAACTCTCCCAGTCCTCTCGAACGCACACAAAGTTATCACTGTCCCGAACTGGGTTACTGTCTCGGGGTTGAGAGCCTTCCTGAGGCTATTACCACATAACTGGCCGTCATTCTGCCCACTCAGCGTTCTGCGACTACTCACCGCAGAGCTTGACTGACATTCATGAGGTGCACACGGTGTTTGTCGACTGGCAATGACGGTAGTGGTAAGCTGATCGCATAAGGCTTGGAGGTGTTCGGGCGTCGAGACACAAAGACAGTGTTCTGGGCGATGACTATGTGCATGCAGTAACCGGCATATGGTATCCGCAGAATAGAACTACTATGATGATTCGTCGTCGTGATGATTTCAAGGACCTTGGCGGGATCAATGTAGTGAAGATCGTCCTAGGTTACACGACAGTTAATATGGCTATATTACTAGGGCTGGCCCGGTCAGACACTTACTAACTTCTTCTCCAGCACATCGTATGTCTTACATCGGCCTGCGGGGGAGGCGCTACTTACCCCGAAACGGTTGTGGCTGGGGAATTTGCTACCGAAAGCGGCCGCAGTAAGGTTGACCGCACATGCTGGCTGACCACTGATTGAAGCCATTTGCCAGCACCAGGCGGTCAAAAGAAGATGGGCTGCTTAGTTATCTTGGCTCTCATGCAGCCAGCACTTTCATGCAGCCAGCACCTACCTAGGTAGGTACCCGCAGCGCCTTCAGCCTCTGCCGTGACTCTAATTCGAATGCCGATCCCATCAAGACAGACTACATCGTCGCGTTATTTCTGCAGAGTGCTCGTATAGAATGCGACTTCGCTGTTGGTAGCTTTCTATTAGTAGAGTGGAAGGTAAATCCTTTCTTCGATCGACATTCACGTTGCATGTCTTGAACCAAGGTGCCAGGCTACATTATCTTATTCTCGGCCTAGATCTTGGTGAGCACGTAAGGGAAGAGGCGTGTAGATCTATCTGAACCATTAGTGGAGAATGGCAAGTCCCGATGTCACCTCAGCATGTGGAAGAGCGGGCAGTCTCTACCTAGTCTTTGAGGAGTCAGAACTACTGTACCACCTCATACAAGGGAAAAACGGAACACCCTAGAGGCTACATTAAGAAGAAAACCTACAAAGTAGGTGGCCTAACGTCGATGTAGGCTCCAGACCTGTTCAGGTTTTCCCTAGGTTAACGTGGTACTCGCAGAATGAGCAGCCCCACGTGTTCGGCTCGTCGCGCACATGCTATAGTTCATTAGACTCTGTACCCTAGTCAACAAGGTGTAAGAAGCTGACTTCAAGCGCTCGGTCCACAAATAAGTAAGCAGATCGCATGCGAGAATACGAAAGCACACACCTTTCTTCTAGTCAGCATCTGCCTAACGCGGTCGGATAGAGATGATCTCGGAAATGCAGAGATCTCAGCATCCAGAGAATACAGTCCTTCAACTGAGACGAGTGGCAACATCGCTCTACTAGAGCCCCACGATACAGCTATGCGCCCTTGACCCTCTTATGTTCAGCTGTATTGAAGTGGGTCTGCACGTGTAGAGCGATCTATGGACAAACCAGTCATAGTTTCAGTCACATATCGGCGAAATTGTCCTTTGTGGTGTTCATGTCCCATCCTCCATTCCAATACGCCTGTTCTGATGCGTAGAAGAACTTGTTTCGTGGGACCTCGAGGTGGACGGACGTGATGTTGTCACTCCACTCCTGGTACTTTGCCAACGCCAGTGCGCGAGCAGGAAACCCAGCGTCTAGCTGCAAGAATACAGTAGACTTTTCGATGGTGTCATAGAACCTGTTACGGCATTTCAGTTTCACCTCCTTGCAAGTAAGGCGGAGAGACCGGATGTCGCAAGAGGATACACCATTATTGTCGATAAACCAAAGGAGGAGTTCCATCGGAAGGTTTGGAAGTGATGCAGCAGGATGTCGCGATGAATCTGGTATTGCTCGATGAACGTAGCGGGGGAAGCCTACTGAGCGGATGACATTCAGTTTGCTCATGCGGTCTACGAGCATAGTGGCGATGGTTTTTGTGTCGTGCTTGGTGACGCAGATGAACTTTTCGACTATGGATCTGCGTGGACCACTCAGCCGGACGATCACCTCTTCGGATCGAACCCGAGGCGTCAAGAAATGGCCCCAGGTAGATCGGCTCTTCCCCCCGTAAGTATAGTCGTCTTACATTCTCAGCACATGCTGATAGGAAGCGCAGGTTGACACCCCCGTCCCATCTCTACACGGCCCTCCCTCGCACGCCAACCTAAGAAAAGCTGAACACCCTGGAGCCTACGTTGAGATTAGGTCACCTACTTTGCAAGTCTTTGTCTTGATGTAGTCTGCAGACCTATTCGGCGCTTTTCTTAAATGAGCTGCTCGTACAGACTGATCCGTGCATTGCCAGCCGACGAGCTCGATGACGATTTCCACGTATTCGTCATCTTCTGCTCCTTTAATGTCCATCTCGTTCACATACTGCCCCATCCTTCCTCTCTCCGCCGATGTGCTCTCGATGCTCTTGCGAAGGGCTTCCTTGGTGCGCTGAGTGACAGCCACACGGGCAAATTTCCGCAGAACGATACGTTCGTCCAACTTTCCCCTGAGTTCCATGATCGCGGCCTCCTCGATACCCCCCATCATCTTTTCGCACTTGCCGATGTTGCGGCTCTCGATGCTGTATACTTCTTCGGGCAAGATGAGGTTGCACTCTTGCAGCTTGTGGTGGATTTGGCTTAGGATGCCGTGTAGGTCGGCCTCGAATTTCTTGTACTCAGGGTCTAAGATGATCATCTGGCGTACGCGTGCGTGGACCTCTTGCTTTAGAGATCTGCCTGGTACTCCGGACGATGCGTCCTTGATCCATTGCAGTTCGGCGAGATTAGCGAACATACAACAGTTGTGTGCGTGAGAGGGCTCTCTTGAGTGGGCAAATTATACTGGAAAGAGAAAGTGCTTACGAGTCGATTGGAGGGCGAGAAGAATTTACGTATGGATGCATCTTCGAGTTGCACGCCACCCAGCCTGAATGAAGTCATGTCCCTTCGGTCGAAGCCATGCTTGTCGTAATGGCGGAGAGTATCTGGGTTGCTCGCGCGGTGGCCGAGTAGCGCCATTGCGTCCTCGCTTGAATACTCGCTCTTCGCTTCCTGCGCCGCCTGTCGTCGGAACGAATACATAGAAAAGTAACAAAGGATCCCGACGGCGAGGCTGAAGTCCTGTAGGTGTTTGTTTAGGGCGACTTGTCGCATTTCTTGATCTGGTATGAGTTGGCCCTTCGTATTAGCCGCGACGAAGACTGCCTGCCTGGCGACTTCTCCTCTGGTTACAGGGAAACGAATAGCGTCGTTGGTCAGCAGAACGTCTAGCGGGTGAACGAACAGGCCGCGAGTATACGCTATGGAAGGTCAGTGTATGAACCTGATTCTCGAACGTCCACGACTTACCTTCCGCAAACAGGAGGGCACTGATGTCTAAGTGGAGGCGCTCTTGTTTGGGGGCAAAAAAGAACTCTCTGGAGCCGTCCCGGCTGCTCTGTCGGTGCGGGTCCTGGTGTCCTTTGTTGAAGCGAAACGTTACCAGGCAAGAGTAGTTTTGTTCGAACCTCTCGAACTTTACGTCGGACCACTGGGGTGTATGAGCCTCAGTGCGCGTGGGTATGCTGTCGCTCATAGCGCCGCCGCGGGGAGCACCCTGCTGGTAGCCCTTGCCGACCGTAATCGAGCCTGGACGGGCGGCGGTGATGTATGCTACCACCCATGCGATATAGTGCTACTTCGTTTGCAGCACACTCTCTTGGAGTGTCATGACCCTGGCATACATCAGACCCAGCTCGAGCTCGCCGAGTTCATTTCGCTCTCGGCTTCTTGTCAATAGTCCTTGTTCGACGGCGACCATATGGATGTGTCCCGACACACGGGAGTGGTAGTCGGTCTCGATGGATCGGAAGTTGTGCGTATACGTATCGATCCAAAATTGGAGTGCACTTTTTAGCTGCCAAAGGGACCTCGCCTGGGAGGTGTTAGCCTCTATCTGGTGTGGGATTTGGATGTGACTTGCCTCGACTTTGTCAGAGAGTCTACCCTCCGACACCATCGCCGTGCATTCGAGGAAGCCACAGACGTACCCAATGAGGGTCTCGCTTCTGTACATCGTTTCCTCGTCGTTAATCTCGTAGATCGTTTGGCAGTACTGAGAGTAATTGCTGCGGGCTTGCTTTCGACGCGCAATTGTACCAGGTGATTGATGGTCACAGAAGCGGGATCGCGCCGATGTGGCTTTGAGATTCTCTTTCTGGTCATCGCTCAGTGCAGCCAATCGCGCGGCCATCCTAGCTGAAGGGGGCTGGGGTGGGGTAATCAATGGCATCGCGTTGTAGTCGGTCGGCAGACAGTGAGTCGGCAGTGGCAAGCGGGGAGGTAGAAGTATTCGATGTATAGGCTCGGGGTCGCAGGTGCTGTCGATGGGAAGGTACAGTCAAACGCCGAGAAAACGAGGATGAAGGCTACGGAGGACTAGCGGTGGAGAATGGTGAGTGCAGTGTTTGTGTAGGTGAGGTTTGCTTGTCGCGTGGGTTGGGAAGGTGCGAGGCACTGCATCCTACCTCACCTCGCGGCATCTTCTCCCCATTCGCTTCTTCTGCCAATCTTCCGTATCGCTCGCGTGTCTTCTTCGTCTGCTCCGCGTCTTCCCTTTCACTTCTCTTCTCCTTCTCCTGCTGCTACGCGCCTGCTAATCCTTCCACACGCTGCGCGTGTACAGGCCGGCATCTTAAACCTCATTTCGGCGCCTCCATAATTCTATCTTTATCACGGGCTTTGATTCTCTGTTTTTTGTCTTTCGCCGCGTTACGTTCCCGCAAAGCACTATATCAGATCTTACTTCGCATATTCCGCGCCTTCCCGTCCTACTCCAATGTCTAAACATCCCGTTCAGACACTGGCGCAGGACGAGGCGCTCGAAAGCAGCAGCGATGATTTCGAGGAGAAGCTGGAAGCCTTCAATGCTCTGGGGACGAAGGGCAACATGAAGCAATTCCTCGTTGAACTGAACGCCACCATCCCCAGGTCCAAGGACCAAGTACGACTCACTAGAAACGTACCCGATCTAAGGAGTCGGTACTGCGAGTATCTCAGAAGAGTATGATCTTGCATCGCTGCATCTACTCCTCGTCCGCTAACTGACCTTCCTTGCAGTCCGCCGAGTTGCCTGCAACGAACACTCCTACAACACCCTCAGCGAAGCGCTCAGCAGCGGCGCCACAGTCAGCGGCACCAAAGCGCGTGAAGCGTGCAAAGCAAGCAGGAAGGGGCGAAGAGATCGGCGACAAGACCAGCGATGATACCGAAGCACCACAGCGAACGGCTACAAAGCGCGTGAAGCGTGCCACGCGAACGGGAGAGAGCGAAGAGGTTGGCGACAAGACCATTGACGATACCCAGGGCACGATGCCAGGTATGCTCTCGCGTCTGTTTGTGACAGATGCAGTGCAGGTGTCAACACCCATACTGGCCTGTCTCAACGCCCTGGGGTCTCCGCTGAGTGCTGTCGCGGTGCAGAAGCAGGACAGCGAAGACTTGACGACCAGAATTTCTCCGTTGGTTGAGCCCATCTCCATCCTCATCACGGCTCGGGACTCCATCATTCCGACACACAGCCATCTCGATAATTTCGGTCGGTTAGCTGTTGTACTCCGCAAGCACCCGATCACTGCCCCGGCCTACCTTGGATCCTTCCTCGCCGGTCTACACTTCACGCTTGTCGAGAGCCAAGAGGACGCAGAAGAGTCGGGGGACACCAGCGCGAGCCACCAAGAGGCTGCAGTCTCAGCTGAGCTAGACGTCCTCTCAAACGAGGTCAATCGCGCTCTCGACGCATGGAGTTCGAAATCCCCCCCGCCACCTTCCGACTCGTTGTTGTACCCGGTGGGCTTTGACAAGGATGAGAGGGTAACACTCAGAGTATTTGGGAGAAAGTACATTACGAAGAACCCCGAGCTCGGCAAGAAGAGGGCGGCGAGAGCTGTCTTGCTCGCTGCCTACAGAGAAATCTTGGCAAGCTGGCCGGTCGGACGAGGAGGGTCGCTGGCGTCGGCAAAGAGCGTGTTGGTAGGGGCAAGGAAGAATGTCGGTCTACTCAAGGGCAAGCCTCTGTCTACCAAGACTCCTGACTATGAGATGGGCGATGAGGAGGAGGACCACGAGGAGGCGCAATACGAGGAGGAAGACGGAGAGGAAGACGAGGAGGAGGAACAGAGGGTTAACCTGCTATCGCCAAGGGAGTAGTGAACCGGGCGCTCTTCAAGCGTACGCGTCTTCGAGAACACTGTTAATTTAGTAATACCTGCATGCTTCTAGTATTCTGGGTTTCGTTTGCGTTGTGAAATAGATGTGTAAGGCTGTGCTGCTGCACAAGGCTCTCCGTGTGGTAGTGTTGAGGCGCTCAGATTTTAAACTGGGTGTTGAAGGGCCGGAAGGAGGAGAAGAACTTGTAGTTTTGCATGGGGGTGTCGTCCTTGATCACGCGCATGCGTCCCGATATCCTGTTTGTTATGCTGAATGTAGGTTGTACGGACGGAGGCATGGACGACTTGTGCGATCAAGAACGCATGGCTGCGTGTGGGCTGCGGGGCAGGGCTGTCGCGAACTCTGGTACAGTCGCTATCCTGTAGTACTCAGACAATCACTACAAAACTTATTAGCGAAGAGCCACACAACCCCATGACAGTGTCGACGACAGAAGCGACACCTAGAGCCTTGTATCAGATGACAACAAGGACAATGGATGTACAAGTCACCCCAACAGGGCGCAGGGCATGCCGAGGTCAACGTCTATGTTATCAGCAAGCTTCCTGAAGGTGTGTTTCGGGAATAGATTAACCAGGGTCCAGATGGCAGGCGCTCGTGCAGCCGTTCTACCTACCAACTGCAATATTCTGTTCCAACCCGCCAAAACAGCGGTCTTCTTCTCGCAGCACCATCTAAAAAAAGATTGTGACTGCTTCTACGCGCTCTTCGCATGGATTCTAGCAGAAAAAAGGGTTCATTTTCGGCAAAAAAGAAGAATGCCTTCCGCCAGAATTGAACTGACGACCTCGTCATCACGTGACGTCCTAATCGGGACTAGCTCGACTCGAATCGAGTCTAGCGTTACTAGTGACGCGCTCTACCACTGAGCTAGGAAGGCGACGATGGAAATTTTTGAAATTGAGGAGTATATGTAAGGCGTTTTCTTCTGCGCTCTTTCTATTCAGGACAGAACGGGCTGGAATAAACGCAGTAGTAGTGGGAGCACTTGCGCTCTTTCTTTGTGTCGGCCGTCGGAACATCAAACCCACAGCAGCCGCACTCGCTTAGCTTCGGGTGGGGAAGTCACATATTTCAGAAAGAGGCAACACCTGAGGGGCGCGAATAAGTCTTTCTACTGAGCAGGGCGATGGGCGCGAGATATAGCAGTTCAAGGTCGTGTACGTCTCGTGGCGCCCCCTATCCGTCAAGCGTCGCGCTTTGTTGTTCTATAGGCACGTTTGACAAAGGAGGAACACGCTAGCTCTCACTCAGGGCTACTGCTGGTAGCTTCATTTCGCGATGATCATAGTCGGAGTTACTTCACAGCAGCGAATAGATACCCTTGCCACGTAGACTCGTTCGCGAAGAGAGTCGCGTTGGATCAGCGTCGCGCTGTCTTTGTCGAATGAGACGCGATCGCAGTTTCACTGCCAGCGCGCGTGGCAGCGAACGACATCAACACGATCGCATCAGCGACGCAAGCGCATGACATTAGCAAGACATGCAAATATGATGTAAATGAAAGCACGGGGTGGATCTCCGAGTTTGTGTGGAGGTGGATCTGGGGCGGATGACCAGTTAAGCGCAAGCTCATTCACATGCCACCGCGAGCCCGCCAAGGCACCAAATTAAGAAGCTGGCGATTGAGCCTCTCCCGCTGATCGCGTTCCTTTCTGCCAAAACCCCTTCAAACACGACTTCTCCCAACACCGCGACACTTCCACTAGACAGATTTACTGCCAGGCCCCGAATCCTGGCTCCGACCATTACCATTCCCAATATTCCACTACAACCATCTATGGGCTCTGCTTCCTTCGCCGCGACCGCTTTCCTACCCACCGCTCAGCTTACCGCAGTTGGCTCTTTCTTCCCCTACACCGCACTGAGCTCAGGCCTGAACAAGACGGACGCCTCCTTCGCATCGCTGGTCCGGCTAGGGGTAGGAGTTCCGCCGTGAACCCTCGCGGCGGACTGTAATATTGGTTTGCCCAAGACAGGCGTTGGATGTGCGCGAACTCCTCTCCAAAGCGTGTGCAAATGCTGACTTGACCAGAATACGGGCGCAGCTTGGAGAGTGACAACTCTTTATCGCATTACCCCTCACTACCGTTACCATGGTTTTCGCATTTGACCAGAACGATGCCCAACTTCCGGCCAACGCGCCGCGAAACCTTGAGCCTGCCCTGCCCGAAGACGACATGTTCGCTTCGGGACTCATGGAAATGAGCCCGCCCAAAGCGCCCCTCCACGTAGGAACCCCGCCGATCAACATCGTCAGCCCTATGCCACAGCGCGCAGTGCAGCCCGGCCCCGAGGGCAAGCAGCAGGGACCAGACAAATTGGATTTCGACGCCGTGTTCAAGAAGGCCCAGAAGAACAAGAAGAAGAAAAAGAAGGGTCTGAAAGCAGGACTACAAGCTACAAGCGTCACCCGGGGCTTTCACACTCCAGTCACGTCTGGTGGGGAGGAGTCGGACTACTCTCTGGCCACTACACCGCGCTTCGGACCTGTGCGCTCTGGACTTCCCAGCGTCACCAGCAGCCCAGCGCTTAGACCCCAATCCACTGCAGGAGGCATCAGCAACCTCAAAGCCCAGCTGGAGGCGCTGAACCTAGGCCCAAGGAGCGATTCACCCATGAAGGATTCCCCGGGAAAGGGTGTCGCTATGAGCAGGGTCACATCGCAGTTGTCGAGCAACACTAGCATGTCTGGCCGCGAAAGTGACAGTGACCGTACGGAGATGGAGAGCTACGAGATCGACCTCAACGCAGAAGATTTCAGCATCGACACGCTCTCCAAGACTTCGACCATGTTGAACAGCGGGATGGCGCGCAAGATGACAGCCGAGGACTTTGAACCGTTGATGTGTTTGGGCAAGGGCAGCTACGGCACCGTCTTGCTGGTCAGGCAGCGCGCGACAGGCCGCCTGTTCGCGCAAAAGCAGTTCAAGAAGGCTTCCATCACCGTGCATAAGAAGCTCATCGAACAGACCAAGACGGAGAGAAACGTCCTGGAGAGCGTGAACCGACACCCCTTCATCGTCAACTTCTACTATGCCTTCCAGGACCAGGAGAAGCTGTACCTCATTCTGGAGTATGCTCAAGGCGGCGAGCTGTTCCACCACCTCGCAGCTGAGCGCATGTTCTCCGAGGACGTGGCCGCTTTCTACATGGCTGAAATGGTGCTTGCGCTCGACCACCTTCACCGCACAGTCGGCGTCATCTACCGCGACCTAAAGCCCGAGAACTGCCTCCTAGACTCCGAGGGCCACCTGCTCCTTACCGACTTTGGCCTCAGCAAAGTCAGTCTTGATGAAGACAGCCCCTGCCGCTCCATCCTCGGTACCGTAGAATACATGGCTCCGGAAGTGGTTCAAGGTCACGAGTACGGCGCGGCAGTCGACTGGTGGTCCTTGGGCGCACTCGGCTTCGATCTTCTCACTGGCGCTCCTCCATTCACCGGTAACAACAACGCCAAGATCCAGGAAAAGATTGTAAAGCAGAAACTCGCACTGCCCTACTACCTCAGCGCCGACGCCAAGGACCTTCTCACTCGCCTCCTCCGCAAAGACCCCAAGAAGCGGCTAGGTTTCAACATGGCCAAGGATTTGCCTAATATCAAGAAACATAGGTTTTTCCGCAAGATCGACTGGAAGAAGTTGGAAGCGAGGGAGTTGGAGCCGCCGATCCAGCCACTCATTACAGATCCGGAGTTGGCAGAGAACTTTGCCCAGGACTTCACCGACCTGCCGCTGAGTCCTGTTCTGACGAAGAAGTTTGACGACTTGATGTTTGAGAGCCAGGCTTCTAGCAATCCGTTTGGAGGGTTCAGCTTTGTGGCTAGCCAGAGCTTGTTGGATAGTGGAGAGTGGGGATATTAGAGGGATAGGAGGAACACTGGCTTTGGTCTTTTTGTTTTCTGCATGCTTGTTTATATCGTTTTTCGAGAAAAGATCGTAATAGAGCACCATCACTACGCGATAATACAGGGTCCAAGATCAATGGTTACTAGATAGAATTGTGTTTTCGTAGGTTGCTGAACCATCTTATTCCAAACTCCGTGCTCGTGCCGTCATCGGTATCATGCGCAAGTATTCATACAGACTGTAAACCAAGTGGGAATCGTTGAATCGAAAGAAATGCCGTTCCAGTCCTCCGCCGTGAGCACTTAAGGTGTTCGTATCTAGGACGTGGGGGCAGCGGCGGCGGCGTAGGACTCGCCGCTCTTCTCGTTGCTACCCTCGGCGGGCTTCTCGCTGCTCTCAGTAGCGACGCCGCCCTCGCTGGCAGGCTTCTGCTTCTTAAGGTCGGCCAAATGCCTAGCCTCGTTATGGACGTCCATGACGGTCTTGTTTCCCTGCTCGTAGAAAGCACGGAGCTTCTGTCCGGTGGGGGTGGAAGCAGCCTTGTCGAAGTAGCTGGTCATCATGTTGAAGGCAGCGTAGCCCTTGTTTGTTATGCCCAACTTCTGGTCGACGACCTGCGCCTTCTGTGTAGCCTGGGTCTTCTGGTCGAAGTTGTTGAGGACGTTCATGAACTTGGTGCTGTAGCCGTTCTGCTTGTCCGCCGCGAGGGCCTTCTCGATGGCCGTGTCGGAGATGGCATAGCCGTGGGCGAGGTACTCAGCGATGATGCGTGCGCGGGGCTTCTGCTCTTGCTCGATGTGGTGGTCGCCGTCCTTGGCGTCGTCGGCGGACGCAGACTTCTCGCCGGCAATCTCGTCGATGCTCTTAGCGGACGTGACCTGGACCGAGTTGTGGCCGAGCTGTGTGTTGTCGAGGAGGAGGGCGGTCTTTGCGGCGGCAGCCTTCTCAAAGGTGACCGAGGCAGACTGGGTGTCGTCGCCTGAGGGCTTTACGCTGAGCGACTGGATCTTTCCGCAGAAGGAGAAGAAGCTCTTGATCTCATCCTCGCTGGTCTTTGTGGAGATGTTCTCGACGTTGACGGTGGCAGCCATGTTGATGTGTGTGTGAGGGGTTTTGAGAGGAGTTTGAATG